ATAATAATCACTGAAATACACTAAGTGCTTGCTAAATGCTCAGAGACATGCTAGCGTGCTACCTATACAACATCGATTAATATGCATAATAGCCCTGTAAATAATGCTCACTCTATTTTACAGGAGCTTGAACTAAGGCCTCGGGAGGGTAAATAATGACCCCAAATTCGTTAAGACTTGAATGCTACGAAGCCACCGTTCAATCCCAGGTCTGTCTGATCCAAAACTGTGCTCTGTCCATGATGTACTGTCTCCACGAAGGGATGATTGTAACATAAATAATATATATACACATATACATACATATATAAACATGTATAAAATAAAAACCTACACGTACATATGTGTACAAATAGAGAAAACATTTTTTTCAATGTACCTATGTTACTCCTACGTTTTTTTTAAGAATAGATTTCAGTATTTACCCCAAAACAATACAAATGAGTAAGATCTGGGAAAGGAAAAAAGAGGGATAAATTCAGGGAAGAATAATCTTTTCACTGTCACTGCTTTATTTTGTATTTCCCCAAAAGCAGAGCCTGAGACAAGGACTCGGGTACATGTCGTTCATTTGGGAGGTGATCCAGGGAAAGAGAAAAAGCTGAGACAAGGAAGTACATTGGGGTCACTGCTGCAGGCAACATGGTTTGATTTGGCCAGGGTGTCTGAGAAGCAAACAAAGTGCCTCTCAGAACTGCCCACCTGAAAGAAGAGAAGCTGAGCCATTTCCCACTGGTTTCTTCTGATCCCCTTCATGGAGGTTTATCCCCAGGGGCATTAACTCCTGGCCGAGAGAGAAAGCTTTTGAGGTGGAAGTCTGCCACTTGAGTGTGTCTTATCTGAGGCTGAAATACAGGTAGGCAAGGGGAGGTGACAGAGGATTCCACAGGAATCAGTCACATGCACCATGTGAAGATTACCTCCGGGGGGGATCTTTTCTGTTTTGTTAAGATCATCGTTGTTTCTTAAGCAGGCTTTGTTCCAAGGAAAACCCGGGATCCTTCCCACAGGCCATTCCTTTGAGCCAGCCCCAACCAGCACTCCACTGGCACACAGCTCTGAACGGACGTGGCTGGGACAGAGGGGGCGCCCGCCAGCAGACAGAGATGCAGGGGCAAGGCGGCCCACGAGGGAACCTGGCTTCTTCACGGACAGGCCTTTCCGACGAACCTCACGAGCCCACCGGCTCCCTTGCTCTGAAGCGATGCTCAGAGAAGGGACGGACCAGGAGGAAGAGTTTCGTGTCAAATTGCCCCTGAACTTTCAACTCCATCGCTGCTCACAGCTGCCGTGCGTAAGAATCCTAGCGAGAGCTTCCAAGGTTTTTATACACGTGTGGGCAGGAGAGGAGGTGAGGAAGTGAACCAGAGATGAAGAACTCCAAATTACGAGAAGAATGCCAACTGTCAATAATCAAAATAATTCTTCTCTGCATAATCAACACCACGTCGGCACAGCTGCTGAGGAGGAAACAATAAACTGCAGGCAAAAATAAAAGTGTCTCTTTCTCTCCTGCTACCTTACAAGGAAAACACACACTGGAGCACGGCTTTGTGGAGTAGCTCCTAAAGCATGCAATCAACATTTCCTTGAAACTACAGCTGGCGTCTTGCATCCAGCAAACGGCTCTCTTTCCACATTATTATTTATTTAGACCTTGTAGAGATGCTTTAGCACTCAATCGCTAGGCCATTCGCTTGACAACTGATGGTGCTGCTCGATGCCGCTCCTCACGTTGGAATGTCGACGTTACGCGTTTACACGGATGTCCATGTTGGATGCGATCTGGATTACGTGACACTTGGCCAGGGCTACCGGGCGATTAGGCAGGAGCCGCAACGTTGCTACACATTTCACAGCACGGCATCGACTGTTTTGTGGAAAGGGACGATCTCGGGTTTCTTGAATTGAACATTGGGGGATCCAAAGTCATCAGAGTGGAAAGTATTGGCTCTGGAGTCCGACAGCTCGGGTTGGAATTACACTCTGCCACTTACTACCTTGTGACCTTGAGAACCTCACTTGACCTCTCAAGGCCTCAAAGCACTCACCAAAGAAGGGGAACAGGAATAGTCCCTCGCATGTCTGTAGTGGGAATTAAGTAAAATAATGTGTATGATATGCTCTACATGTAGTAAGTGCCTGGTCAGCGTTAGCTGTTATAACTGCTCTGGAGTTGAGCAAGGTTTCATCCTTCTATCCTCAATTTCCTTCCATAAAATAGTAATGGCCTACACTAGTTTTGTCCTGGAAGGATTTATAATTCCTAGGATTTTTTAATGTTTATTTATTTATTGTAGGAAAGAAAGAGAGACTGGGGCGCCTGGGTGGCTCAGTCGGTTGAGCATCCGACTTCGGCTCAGGTCATGATCTCGCTGTTTGTGGGTTCAAGCCCCGCATCAGGCTCTGTGCTGACAGCTCAGAGCCTGGAGCCTGTTTCAGATTCTGTGCCTCCCTCTCTCTCTGCCCCTCCCCCACTCATGCTCTGTCTCTCTCTCTCTCTCTCTCTGTCAAAAATAAATAAACATTAAAAATTTTTAAAAAGAGAGAGAGAGAGAGAGAGAGAGAGAGAGAGTGAAGGAGGGGCAGAGAGAGAAAGAGAGAGAGTGCCAAGCAGGCTCTGGCTGTCAGCACAGAGCCCAATGAAGGGCTCAATCTTACAAACTCTGAGTTCATGACCTGAGCTAAAATTAAGAGTCAGACGTTTAACTGACTGAGCCACCCAGGCGCTCCTAATTCCTAGCATTTCTACTTTCTCATTTCTCCCCAGTTATTCACTGGATCATGAACTGCCAAAACAGTGTTAAAATCTGGGTGCTTCAGGGCTGATGGGCAGAGACACAAGAAGTGAAAAGTGCCTTAGGGAAATGAACACACATCTCCCAAGTCAAAGAGTGAGCTTGCACTGGCTGATTTATCCCCTCTCTTCTGAACACATTCTCTCCATCTCCCTGACATATGACGCAGAGGACTTCAGCGTTGTAAGGAATGGGACTGAGATCTGGAGATGATGGAGCGACATCCCCCAAGAAAGAGCTTCCTCTTGAACTCTGTCACCCTTGGTCACTCTCACCTTCCATCTCCCCAAAACAGCCCAGAGCAATGCTTATAAATTATAAAGCGCTCCCCTTCTTAAAAACTGTACTACTGGCATCCCACTGCCCTCAGATAAAGCCTGATTTCATAAATGTGGACTCGCTTCCACGGTGTGCACTACTCTGTGAGGGCACGTGAGGGCACACAGGGCTCAAAGAAGCAAAACCGGACAAGAGTGAAGACAGGTGTGAGCCCACAAAATGAACTAAGAACGTCACCCCTGGTAAAATAATCCCGCACATCCCCGAGAGGAGCAGACCACTCTGAAAGTGAAAAAGAAAAAGAAGCCACATCACATCCAAGTCATGACCCCTTAGTCTCAGCCACGAACCCCAGCAGCATCACAGGGAATCAGGAAGAACACTTGTTCTTTCTAATACCTTGCACATCAAGAGGGCAGAGAGTCCTCTAGTATCTCCCGGGCTAGCTAACATCCTAGGTTCAGAGACTGGTCAGTCCTGGCATGGATCCCAGGCAAGTTCGTTTATCTCACAAGCCTCAGTGTCTCATCTGTACGCCAGAGACGCAAATAGCACCTACCTCATAGGGTTTGGTGAGGACTTAAGAAGACAACAGATAAATTAGTACTTAGCTCAGATCATCAATAAAGATTAATTAATGTTGTCATTTACTAACCATCATTCATAAATTTGTTATCATTCTAAAAAACGGTTAAGAACTGCACTATGTGCCCAGAACTAAGCACAAGGCCTCAAGCCATGGGAGGAGGGATCAGGTGAGAGATGGAAGGAGGGTAACCAAGTTCACGGATTGATGTTGAAATACTTTCTTCTTAGACAAGCACCTTGGCCTCGGTCACAGTTTATTTGTTCTTCTCATAGGCGTTATTCTAACAGACTTAATTATCTGGCTTCCAGTTCCAGAACAAATTAGAGGCAGCTACACTGCTACGAGCAGGCACACCGTCTTAAGACGTGGAAGATGCCTCATCCCCACGTCCAGCCCCCACTTCTCATGGGTCTACACCCCCATTCCCTTCAACATTCCTGACATACTATGATTCATCTCTCTTTGTCCCTTAAATGCATTCCATCCTTTCTATCCCCTGAAATCAGAATCAAATGCAATGTTGCACGTGTGGCTCGGCCAAAAATTATGGGAGTCCAGGTTTTACAAGGACGTCACAGACACAGTGAGGTATGGTAAATGAGTGAAGAAAGCAAGAATAGGGTAAGAAACGGTGTCTCTTTTGCGAGCAAATGAAGAGAAAATGCCCAGCCAAAGGCATCCCCGCATCCGTCACAAGAACGGCCAATAGCCTGACCCTGGTGATCTGTGTGAGCCACATGGGACATGGCATTTGGGCCCAATAAGACTGAAAGAAAGAAGGGATATTTCAAGTTGCGGGAGAGCGACACTCCCCCTTTTGGACACAAACGAGGAAACCGAAGCCACCATCTTGCTCCCAGATGCCATCGTAACAACCATGAGAGGAACAGCCCATGTGGAGAAAGACGGAAAGAACCCACATCCCTGATGAAGGCACGAATTGCTGAACAATCACCCCTGGGGCACAGCCTCCCTCCTGACTTAAGAAAGAGAACAAACGTTCTTACTGTTTAAGGCGGCGTGAGCGGGGGTTTCTCAGCTCGCCCTTAATAGTGTCCGAGAAACTACAGAATTAATGTTTTAACTTTAAAGCACTGTCATAACCCAATAAGATCGGGAGCTCCTTGGCTGGGAGCAAATACAGAACTCTTGGGCATTTGGAAAGTGAGAGGTGCTCTAAGTGCAAAATTAGAAAGACTTAGTACAAGAAATATATACAAACTAGCTGATTAACATACTTTTCATATTGCTTACATTCTTGACAAAACATTGCCTTGGGTATGTTGGACTAAATACTGTCATTTGCAAAGTTGATTCTACATGTTTCTTTTTACCTTGTTTTTAAATGCGGCTACCGGAAAGTCTGAAGTCACGAATGTACTCACATCCAGCGGACGGCACTCATCTCGCTGTATTTCTTCCAATCAGCCTAAGGATATTAGGTCATACAAAACTAGTTACTCCTATTTCACTTACTGTCAGAAAAAACATTTGAACTTTTCCTACCCTTCCTTGTGCTAAATCATTTTTCTCCCTTCCTTTCTCTGTATACTTATGTTTTCAGCCTGCGTGAGGAACTTACATAGTTATAGCTTATCTTCAGTGCGTGGAAATGGGCCAGTGGTTCACCAGAGGGCGTGCTGGAAATCTGTGGGGGCAGGTGGGTTGTCACATGATGGGCAGGGGCTTCCCTGTCCCCTAGAGGGGACTGTCCCCCATGCCATTCCTATAGATGAAAAGTATGTTTATACATAACCGGCCAGAAGCAAATTCCATCTGAGTTATGAATACGGGGGGCGGGGGGGTGCACGGGGTTAATTTAAATGAATTTTCCGGGAAAGCAACTGCAGAGGTATACTTTGTTTTGTTCAGAACTTTAGAAGGTATTCACCTTTTTAGAAACCCACATCATTTGTAACAGTGCCCCTGCTGGTTGTTTGTGTCACTAGCAGGGCTCAGCTGCACTGGCCCACATCTGAGCTGCTACAGTGAGGCAATTCTACGCATATGTATCAATGTACTTATTTCACCCTTATTTCAAAATGCCCCCTAGGAAAATAAAAAGCCTCAATACTATTCAGCTGAAGATCAACTTAACTTCTCTGAAATCCAAACTGAGCCATTAGTTCAGAGTTGCCAACATCTAAGTACCGTCGGTTCTGATGTAACACAACATACGCATTCCTAAAAAGTCAGCTCGCTCCGCAAAATCGCACAGCCAAAACCACAGGGCCTACGGGGAAGGTGGAACAAGGGGGCACGACACCGAGTGACTTTGACAGTGACACAGAAAAAAGAACCTAATAACAGTGGTTGCATGTTAAGTGGTTTTATACACGTTAAATACAGAAACACGCAGGTACTACAGAACGACGCACCTGACCTTGAAGAAGACCTGAGGTTTGCCTATATAAGTACGGGCAATGGAAGGGCTATGGCTCGTGAGTTGGTTTGGGGTGGAGGAAGCAGGGCCACCCGAATCGAAGAGAAAGGGGATGGGTGCATGGTACCACCCAGGTGAACCGAGGCAGCCGGCAGATGTTTGGGCTGTGCATGTATGTACGCTTTGTGTTTTCTATAAGCATATTTAGACATCTTTTTCCTAATCTGTCTGCCAGCATGGAAATTTATATGCTGTCTGGCTGTGTGCTGTGTGTATTTGTGTTTTATGCATAAACAGAATAATATTTTTTGTTCCCCAAGAATGCACATTTGCCCTCCTGGGGACAACACTGCTCTCTTGAGATGCCTGCGGTCGAGGTACACAGAGAAGATGGTGGGAGCACAGAGAAGAGGGTGACTCATCGCCTGGGACAGTCAGGGAGGGCAGAAGAGGAAATGACATTTGAACCAGGTTTTGTAGGATGAGTAAGACTTGCCATCTGGGAAAAGGGATGGAAGGAATTCTAGAAGGAACAGCTTCTAGGCGTGATTGTTAAATGTCTGCACAGCATGGGGTGCACTGAGAGCTACACATCCACAGAAAGAGTGGGGAATTTAGAAATACAAATTTTAGTACGATTTGAGAGACAAATGGACTCTTAAGAGGTATCAAATCCTAGAAAGCTTTTGGGGGCAGGAGTGCATAAGGAGCAGAAACTGGGAAGGACGCTGAGTTATTAAAGTAGGTATTAGGTTCCTTTAATTTCAGCCTATGTCTCAGATGGAAAGACTCCTGTGTAATAAATAATAGAGCACACTTTGGGCATAGTTCATTCACCACACTCCCAGACACATTTCGAATACCATTCAAAGAGTCGTGGAAGCTCTGATTAATATACAACACAGAGCTCTCTCCATATACTCTCAAGGGTAAAAATACTGCTGAAAAGCCAGTTCTTTTAAAAGCTGAGCATCTAACACCACCTTGTGAATGATAATAAATGGCAGGCGAAGCCAGAAGGTGGACTGGCCCTCTGTGTGGGTCTGCAAGTTTTATGTGCACAAAAATACAGACCTGCTCTTTGGCCAAGAGAGCAGGATGATCTTCCAGTGGGATCAAGATTTCCTAGGAGACTCCTGGGATTTCCCAATTCCAACTTGATCAAAAATAGCAACCCCAACTCTCATGGGCTGGTTTCCTTTTCTTTTTTTTTTCCCCCCCTCCATATTCCCCATTCGAGCTCCCTTAGGAACGTGCATCTATTTGCCATTAAAATGATATTGCGGTCCTTTTTCCTAAGGCCAGAGAAGTTTAAGGTTTTTCCATAACACCAAGTCCCTCCCTGACCTCATGGAGCTTGTCATCCATCAAAGACAGGCACCGAGAACAAAACGACACAACTAGTTTCAAATGTGATGGCGACAAGGGAAGATTAAATAGGATCAGACGCACACAACAAACATAACTTAGAGGCCATAACTTCATGTACAAATCAGGATGCTTCATGCTGTGCAGGGGGGCACCGTGACAAAGACAAGTTCATATTATGGGTGAGGACGAAGAAATAGCATGGGATTCTCATGGGAAGAAATATGATCATGTTTGCCCTCTCTAATTATTGTAATTAGATCTCTAACCATTTGAGTGAGTACTGTCCAGCAGCAGATTTACTTCTTACTGCCCATCATGGACCCAAAGAGAATTATGCAGGGACATTACAGCATTATTTGTAAAACAGGAATAATCTAAGTACACATCAAAAGGGGAAGAGTTACATGCGTGGAGTACTTCTATGCAACGTTCAAAAGAATGGATGAGGGCTTACATATACTAATATGAAACTACATCCAAAAAATATCGTTGGGTAAAAAAAAAAAAGTGAACCGTAGAATGACATGTAGGGTGTGCTTCCATTTGTGTGAAATTTAGGGAGACACAGAGGTTCAAGTAAAGTTTCACATACACAGACCATCTCCAGAAGAATACATAAAACATGGTGACGGTGGTCTCCTGTGTAGGGGAACCAGGTGTACGAAGGTCAGGGTGGTAAAGAGACATGTCACTCACTACATTTACTTTACTATTATTGGAAATTTGCCACATCTAGTTGGAGAAAAAGTATCTCAAACAGTATAGATGGAGAAAGGTAGCGTTAACCAGCAATGGAAACTATTCACTTTATAATCTGCCCTCCATCCCGTGTGTTAGCTGAACGGAATTCTCTATATGTTCAGAAATGAGGTAAGGGGAATTATCTGGGCAGAGACCAAGATTCAGATGTGACTGGGGGGGGAATCAGGGAAGAAAAGAAAGGGGGCAAAGCTTCGCATGAGCAACAGACAAAGATACGTGGGCTACTGATCACAAAAGCTAACGGATGCACCTGGGCCCGGAAATATGATTTTAGGTGATAAATAGACACTGTTGGATGAAATTGATTCACATAATGATAACATTATTCCCTTTCCCAATCTTTTTTTATTGCTCAGATATAGTCAAAGAGGAAGTCTCAGTTTGGTGCAAGTATGTCTTTATGACCTCTGGACACTTTCCTGGAGTTAAAATTTGATAACGTGTTTTGATTTGACTGTATTTCTTTTCACTCCTATCCTTCTTAGAGAAACGAACTCTGGTTTCCCACTTTTGGCATTGAAACAAAGCTTCCTTCGAAAACAACCGTATTTAATTTTGATGTTTTATAATGAGCCATTTTCAAGGAAAATATTAAGTAACACAAGACGCGCAGGGAGGGCAAAAATCGTGACTGAAGTTTAGCAAGCAGTGCCTTCAGACAGATTCTTCTAGGTCTATGGCAGGGAAGCTGTGCAGTTGTACGGTTGTGATTGTTGCTGGGTTTTATTTTCATCCCACCAAACAAGCGCTGAATAAAATTGAGGGAGATTTTTCAGCAAGCTGAAGTTTCGTCCTCATCGCCGACAGTATTTAACAAGAATAGCCTTAGTTTCCTAGAGTTGGTTCCACGGATGACTAAAAAGACCGAGAACCAAAAATACAGGCACCAACTCCGACGGCCTAATTAAAAGTGTGATTCTTGCCCCGGTGTGGAACACTAGCCCTTTTGTTACATTCCAGGAGAGAAGAAACACCTCAACCGAAATCACATTTTCCTCCTTTCTCCCTCTCCAGTGCCACCATTTTTTCATCAGCTAATCCCAATTAGAACGCTTTTTTTTTTACTAAAGCCATAAATCTCTGCCTTTCCCAATAAGCATAAATTATATGGTAAATAACTGTATTCTGTGTCTGTCCAGGAAAATAAAACACTCTTTCTTTCTTCTTTCTTTCCTTTCTTTCTTTCTTTCTTTCTTTCTTTCTTTCTTTCTTTTGCTTCTTTCTTTTCTTTCTTTCTTTCTTTCTTTTCCTTTCTCTGGTATTTTATGAGACTCTGAGCTGCTAAGTCAACGTTCACGCTTTTTGATTTAGGATTTCTCCCCCCTCTCATCTATCACTCGTCTATAAAGGCAACACTTCTTTTAGAAAGAAAACTACCACCAATGCACTTCTCTAAAATTCATCCTAATCAAAGTATGTTTTTTCTTCCTATTTCTGAGTGACTCCAGGTAGAGGCAAAAGCTTGATTGTTGTGTTAAAATCTACCTCTGCCATTTCCTGGCTAAATGGCCCAGGACCCTCATGATAGCTCAAACCCAGGTCTGAATCATCAACTAAGGAGACAGACCTCCTAAAACTTGTCCCAAAATTAATGAAGAAACTTAATAAACAATGTTTAGCATAGTGCCTGGCACAGAGAATGTGCTCATTAATATTAGTCGCTCATACTGCATAAACAAAAGTGGTGATTTTTTTCATTGTTGTTCCTTCTGTGGTCAGCAATTGCTTAACCCAACATTCTCTACGTTAAACTAATTAAAAGAAACATACCTTATCCGTGATTGATTTTCAAACTCATTTATTACTCGTTTCTCTATGGTTTAATTTAATTAAATTGAGTAGCATATCAAATATTGATTTTAATAAAATCTTGATTAAGACTCGAGCAATTATCAAACACAATTTTCATACCATTCCTGCATTTCAATGGAACCAACCTGAAAACCAATTTGCTTTTAAAATAAAGAAGTGATTTTATACACATACACACATTCCCCACACCCCCACCAGGCCATTTTCAGAAATACAGAAAAAAAAAATGGCCTCCCAACCTTTTCGTTAGCAAGATAAGCAAAGATAAGCAGCAATCTCCAACTGGGGTTCTGAAAAGCTTAATCCAGTTGGTCACCTCATCTCCAATCAGTAGTGGAAGGGAAAAAACAAATTAGAATCAATTCCTTTGATAAACATTAACTTAGCAACTACTATGTACAAGCCACTGTCCTGTACTGTCCAACACAAGGAGAGGTAGTCAAGAGCTAATCCTATAGCCAGTTTTAATGTGTGTGGAAAAATCCATCCACACATGCAAGTCTTTAATTTTATTGAATAATGACCAGAGAAGTACATGTATTTCAATTCTTGAAATTACTCTGCTGTATGATTTATGTGCATAGACTATTGTTAAGAGAATGTAATGTAAATGTGATGGTATAAATTACCAATAGTATCATATTAGCAATTAACTATAAGACATTTAATAAGTTAAATATTTGGTTTGATAGTTAAGCGCTAAAAAAAAAAAAAAGAAAGAAAAAGAAAGAAAGAAAGTCCGGCCAATAGCTATCACAGCAGCACCATCTAGAGGATTCTGAAAAGTAACACAGGGTCATTCCCCTAACTTGCCATTCTTCCTGTTTAGGCGAAAAGAAAGGCAGCTATAGAGTTCACCATCTTATGTCATTTTAAAGCATTTTAATTCTGTCCACATCATTTAGCATCATCTTAAATCTTGAAATGTTTATGGAACAGCTCAATGAGATGGAATATTCTCGAAATCGTAATGCAATTGGAACAAGGATCCCAGCTGTCCTCCTGGGGAGGCAGTACTGGGTGTGTGCTGAAGGATCCCAGGCCCTGGGACACCGTGACCTGGGCCATGACTCCCCTCTCCTCCCAACACACACACACCTCCTTATTCTATCTTGATCCCAGATATATCCATGCCAAAGACTGGACAATGGGTAACATTTCAAAATCATACCACTCCTGAGCTACTGTCCACTGTGTATTTACGTGAGTTGACAAAAAAATAATAAACTTTCTATTATTAAAACTGTTTACACCAGCACATCCACTTACTAATTCCGTTCCATTGGCCTAAGCTGAATCAATGTCCTGGGGTGGGTTGAAAGAGAAATAATAAAACATCTCACTTTTTTTTTTTTTATATAGTTCTCATTCCCCTATCGTTTCTGTAACTTTTCTGAACCAGAGAACTGCTTTGGAGTCATGTTAAAAGGATTACAATTGAGATAATAAAATATGTCTGCTATTCATAGGAACTAGTCCTCTCCTTACATTATTTGCTTTCAGAATTTCAGGCAATTTTGCAGACCCTTGGTCGGCTGCAACCTCACAGGGAAATGGCAAACATGTACATTCAGTGTGGCCCCGGCCAGTGGGGGACAGGAGGAGCGCTCACCTTCATTTCCACTGGGGGGCACTGTCCACCTCGGGGAGAGGGGACGGAGTCACAGTTTGCCAGGCCAATTTGTAGAAATCTGAGTTCACCTGCATTCTGAAGTCAGGGTTCTCAAATGAGCGCCCTAGTAAAGGGTCAGAGATGGGCAGTGAGTGGGTCATTCATGGTGATTCTCTATACTTGAAGCAAATGCAATTGGGCCCAACTGACCAAAGGAATACGAGGTTTTGCCTAGAGAAACCTTTTCCCCATGCTGTATGCTAAAGCCATCACTAAAAGTCATAGCAAACTGCAATAATTTTGGTTCTTTCAAATGTCTTCATGTTCTTGCACGGCTTTTCCCTCTATTCTACCTCCATACCTGTTCACTTCGTAAGTGTCTGGTTCTCGTTTGTGACTTAGCTCAGATGTCACTAACTCCAGGAACCCTTCCAGGACTCCCTTACATTGGGTCAAGATGACCTCCTACGTGCCTCAACTGCATCCCATACTGCTTCCATGAGGAAGCTTGATGTAATTACTTGTTTATTAACTATGTCCCCCATTAGGCTGCAGATGCCATCAAAGCTGGGGGGATTTCTATCTTATTCACAGTTGTATTCCCTGCATCCCCATAGTCTCAGCTCAAAGCCTCCATCAAGGAATGATCACCCTATATAAGTATGATTTATGTTGGGGAGGACTCTGATGTTAGGCACACAGCCTGCATTTCTTCGCCTTCCAAAAACATGGGCCTCAGTACCCACTGTTTTTCTTCCTCACTTACCTTGTTCTCTTAATCCCTACAGTCGTCAGAAGAGAGGCCCAAGTTTCCACAAGGTAAGCTGCCTCTTGCTATCGAGGATTATGGCAATTCTGCTTGGCCATCTGTTCACCATCTCCAGAACTTGTTCTAGGATCCGCAGACAACCCATCTCTATTCCTGAGTCAGCTGCAAGAGAAGCGGTCAACCAAAATATTTACAATAGGGATCTTTCTGGGACGTCTGGTGAGCTCTAATGAAGCGAGAGTCAACTGGGAGGGAGATGAGACCCCCCCATCCCCTGCCCCGCTCATCTTTCCAAGCAGGTAACAAAGTCCTATTCTCTACTGTATGCAGTTGACATAATAGCACAGAAGGAAAACAAAGAAGTTCAACTTTGTTTCTGGTTCAACTACTTATTGTGTCCATGGAAGGACTATGATATTCTAGAACTAGAAGAGCATAGGGCCATCTAGGTAACCTGAAGAGTATAGTGTGGCACCCAAATACAGAGTCAGAACCATCCTGGGAAGTTCCAGACCGTGATGAAATAATATATTTACCACTCTGGATCCTTTTCTGTCATCTGTTTCGCCTGAGACTACATCTGCAAAATGGCAGTAAACCTGCCAGGCTCAAGGGGTCATTGCGAGGGCAACTGAGACAGGCCCTAACAAAGTGCTTGGAAAACTACGCCCACCCAACAAAAAATGACAGATTATTAATGTTAATAGAACGACCACAGACTGCCCCATCATCCCATAGCCGTTATCCTCAATTTTTAAAGATCTGAAGAGAATATTTCACTGCTAACATCCTGACTTAGGTTTAGTTGGAAGATAAAACTTCTAGCCAAATTAGCCTAACATACATGAAATGATAATCAGTAGATCCTGAGAGTAAGAACCAACTAGAGATCATTTAGGGTATAATAAAGAGGAAATAGTAGAGATAGTTGTGTTATTTTGTTTACTTTCATACTTATAATTGTGTACACAGGAACATACATGCTGAGTACCATAAGTAAACATTTTTCAGGGGCGCCTGGGTGGCTCAGTCGGTTAAGCGGCCAACTTCGGCTCATGTCACGATCTCGCGGTCCGCGAGTTCGAGCCCCGCGTCGGGCTCTGGGATGATGGCTCAGAGCCTGGAGCCTGCTTCCGATTCTGTGTCTCCCTCTCTCTCTGCCCCTCCCCCATTCATGCTCTGTCTCTCTCTGTCTCAAAAATAAATAAACGTTTAAAAAAAAATTTTTTTTCAGCCAGCTCCCTTACATAAATCTCAGAGTCTTTGGTCATTCAAAAAAAAAAAAACGTTTTTTAAATTACTGGAAACTAGCAAAACACAGGATGAGAATTTTCTAAAACTGACAAAAGACATCAAGCCAAGGCTTCACGAGGCAAAACGAACCCCTAGGGGGATAAATACAAAGAAAGCCACACACACACACACACACACACACGCCAAAACAAAACAAAAAAAAACAGAGAAAACCACACAAAATGAAACTTCAGTGTATTAGTGATTGTTTCTCCACATCCTCACTGGTGTTGTCCCCATTTTTTATTTTAGCCATTCTGATAGATGTATAGTGCTACCTCATTGTGGTTTTAATTTGCATTTCCCTAATGGCTAATGATGTTGAGCAGCTTTTTATGTGCTTAGTTGTCGTCAGTATATCCTATTCAATGAAATGTCTTTTGCCCATTTTCTAACTGGATCATCCATTTTTTCACTGTTGGGTTTTGAGAGTTCTTTAATTATTTTAGATACTAATCCTTTATCAGATGTATGATGTGCAAATATTCACTCTTAGTCTGTAGCTTGTCTTTCATTCTCTTGACAAGACTTCTCACAGTTACTAACCTTGATTAAATCTATCAATTTTTTTCTTTTTCATATTGCACTTCTGGGGTTAAGTCTATAAGCTCTTGGCCTCACTCTGCAGTAGAAAGATTTTCTCTTACGCTTTTTATTTTTCTTAAACTATAAAAATTTTATATTTACATGTAAGTCTGTGATCCATTTTGAGTTAATCTGTACATAAGGTGTGAGCCTGAAGTCAAGGATTTTGTTTTGTTTTGATTTGGTTTTGTTGCTTATTTTGTTTACAGATATTGAATTTCTCCAGCACCGTTTACTGAAAAATCTATGTTTCCTCCACTGAATGCTTTTGCACCTTTGTCAAAAAATCAGTTGGGCATATTTGTGTGGGACTATTTCAGAGTTCTCTATCTGTTGCGTTGACCTGTATGTTTATCCCTCCACCAATACCACACGTTCTTGATTACTGTAACTATGTAATGGGTCTTGAAATTGGGTACCATGATTCCTCCAACTTTATTCTTCTTTTCAGAATCGTTTTACCCATTATATTTCCTTTGCTTTTCAATATATATATTAGAATGATCTTCTCTATATCTATAAAATACCTTGCTGGGATTTGGGAAGAAATGGTGCTAAGTCAGTATTTTAATTTGAAGAGAATTGATACTCTCCCGCATTCATTTTGATCTTCTTCATTTTCTTTCATCAGAAGTTTGTAGTTTTCAGCATACAAGTCTTCTTCATGTTTTGTTATACTGATACATGGGAATTTCATTTCTATTTGTTTGTAAGTTCCTTGGCATTTTCTACATAGTCAATCGTGTTATCTCCAAACAGGGACAGTTTTATTTCTCCATCTCCATCTGTTTGCCTATTATTTCCCTTTATTGCCTTTTTGAACTGGCTAAAAGTTCCAGCCCTGTGTTAAGCCACAGTAATGAAAGAAGACTTGCTCCCAGTTTTAGGAGGAAAGGATTCAGTCCTTCAGCATTAAGTATGTTATCTGTAGCTTTTTGGGGGGATGGCCTTTGTAAAGTTATAGATGTTCTCTTTCGTTCCTAGTGTGCTAAGTGTTTTTTAAAATCATGAGTATTAAATTTTCTCAAATTATTTTTCGGCCTCAATTGATAGAATCACATTATGCTTTTTTCTTGTTAGCCTGTTACAGCAGATTACACGGACTGACTTTTGAATGGTGAGCCCGCTTTGCATCTCTGGGAAAAGCTCCAGTTGGTCATGGTGTGTAATTTTTTTATATATTGCTGATGCTATTAGCTAATATTTTCTGAAGGATTTTGCATGTCCATTTACGGAGGATATTGGCTCATAGTTTCTTTCTTTCCCTTTATTAATTTTTGTGTACTGTCAATGTCTGGTTTTAGTATCAGCATAATGGTAACTTCATAAAATGAATTGGGAAGTTTTCCAAACCCTTCCATTTTCTGAAAGAGACTGTGTATATATCATATTAATTATTTTTCAAACATTTCACAGAATTGTATAGTGAATCTCCAGTGAAGATTTCTTTTGGGGAATTTTCAAATTATGAATTCAATGTCTTTAATAGTATAGAGCTATTCAAATTACCTATTTCATATTGGGTAAATTTTGTGGTAGGCAGTTTTAAGAAATTGGTCCACCTCAGAATCTAAGTCCTCAACTGTATGTATGTGGAGATATTTACAGCATTCCCTGTCCTTTTTATGTCTGTAGAGTACGTAGTGCAATTCCATGTTTCATTCCTGATAATGCTAATTTGTATTTTCTCCCATTTTTATCTTTGACCATCTTGCTAGAGACTTGTCAATTGTATTGATCTTTTCAAAATACCGACTCCTTGTTTATCTATTGTTTTTGTTTTAAATTTTATTGATTTCTGCTCTTATCTTTATAATTTAGACTCTTCTGCTGACTTTGATTTTGCTCTTCTTTTCTACGCCCTTCCTGTGAGAGCTCACATTATTAATTTAAGATGTTTTACTTTCCTAATGTAAGCATGTATTGCTACCTTTGCTCTCAACATTGCTTTAATTGTAACCAATTTTGGTATGCTGTATTTTCATTTTCATTTAATTCATTGCTCATTTGTTGGCTTCCCACTAAGATCTCCTCTGTGACTCATGGATTATTTAGAAAGTGTTATTTTCCAAGTGTTTGGATATTTTCCTATTATCTTTCTGTTATTGATGTCTAGCCTACCTGTAGTCAGAGAACATACTCTGTAGGATTTCAATTCTTTTAAATTTGTTGAGGTGTGTCTTATGGTCCAGGATGTGGTCTAACTTAGTACATGCTTTGTAGGCACTTGAAAAGAATATGGATTCTCCTGATATTGATTGTTCTATAAATGTCAAATAGTTCCTATTGGTTAATGATGTTGACTTTTCCATCCATGGTGATTTTCTGCCTGATTCTTGTATCAGCTATTGAGAAAGAGGTGTTAAAATCTTCAACTAACACTGAGGAAATGCCCACTTCTCCTCTCAGTTCTGTCACTTTTGCTTTATAGTGTGCAGCTCTGTTGTTTGGTGCATATATTTTTAGACTTGCTATATCTTCTTAGTGAAGTGACCATTTTATCATTATATAATGGTCCTGTCTGTACCTGGTGAATTTCTTTGGTCTAAACTCTATCTGATATTAACGTAACCACTCATGCTTTCTTTGGATTAATGTTTGCATGATATATCTTTTTCCCTCCTTTTATTTTCTACATGCCTATATTATCATATTTGAAGTCAGTTACTTATAGACATCATACAATTGTCATGTTTCTTTTAATACAATCAAATTATCTATACCTTTTTATTGGTATATTTTAGCTGTTTATATTTAATTATTCATATGCTAGAGTGGAGATGGAAGTCCAGGATCCCCCAATGGACTTCACTGAAACTGCTGCAGAGGGTGGGGAGGTGCCTAATTAGTTAACTCTGAACAGGATGAAAGAACTGATTCCTTACTGAGCCTTCTTTGACATCATCCTGGTAGAGGATGAGGGGCAGTTATAACAAGGTGAGAGTGGAAGTCTATACTCTCCCCCTGGCCTTTCTAGTGTGTGTGTGTGTGTGTGTGTGTGTGTGTGTGTGTGTGTGCGCGCGTGCACGCGCATGCACGTGCTATTTAGCTGGAGTAGAATGTTTATTTTCTACAAGTTTATGCCTTGTTCAATGGCCTTTTCCTGGTCCTTTGGCTAAAGAATAGGCATTTGTTGGGGCTTTTTAAAATTTCCATGTTTGTCAGATTTTGGGGTTACCAGCTTCTTCAGTTCCAAGTCTAGAATACATGAGGCAAAAGGAAACCCAGGTAACTTACAATCATGTCACTCCTTGGGTCCTGAGATCGCTAGACAGTGTGACTGATTCTTTCAGAGTCTTCTTGTGTTGGTATAATTTCTAGGGGTTTTAGTTATATTTAATAAGAGGAACAGGGGAAAGTACATCTACTCCAAATTTCCAGAAACAAAAATCATTGATAATCTTTTAAAATTAATTATAACAATCTCTGTCTTCTAACTGACGTATTTAGACTATTTACATTTAATGCGATCATCAATATATCAGGATTTCATGCTACACGTATACTACTTGCTTTCTGATTGCTCTACTTGTTTTCCACTTTACTGTTTGCCCTTTTCTCTTTTAGATTATTTGAACAATTTTTAGGACTTTATTTTGACATATTTGTATCCTTTTTTATTGCTTGCTCTAGAGATTATATCCCTCATTTTTCAGTCTACTTAGAATCAATACTTAAGTACTTCAAGTGGAATATAAGATCTTCACTCTTAAGACAGATTCCCTTACCCTCCCCCACTTTCTATGATAGTTATTTTACATATGATATTTATATACTTTGAAAACTCTGAATAATATTATAATTATTTTTGTTTTCACTTGATCTTAGCCAAAAGGCTGAGAAGCGATAAGTTTCTGTTGTTGTTTTCAACTATCAGTTGAAAACTAAAGAGAGAAGGAACAGGCTATTATAGAGATTAGCAAATTTTTTCAGTAAAGGGCCAGATAAATACTTTAGGCTTTTCAGACCGTGTACTATGGAAGTTAATGACTGGAATTGGCCATGTGGACATTTCTGGAATGTAGACAGTGTGCTATTTCTTCATCTGATTGAGAATTACACAAGAGTTCACTTTGTAGTAACTCACCAACCTACCTTTTGTTTTGTGCATCTAACTTTTTGTGTGTGATACCTACCAATGAAAGTCATTTTGAAACTAAATAGATCCAAGAGCTTGAAAAATAGATGGGAGACTTTGGGAATGGATTATCAGAAAAAAAGAAGGGGTACATAAAGTACATGGGATTTATTGCTCCTTTCAGCGCTACCTTCTTTGAACAAAATTAATAGATGGGGAAATATGTACAGTTTGTCCTCAACCCTGAGAGACTGAGAATTTCTACTAAGTGCAATTCACTGAGGTGGGAACTGCTTACTGGAGCCAGAAGTTGAAAAATGAGACTTGTTGGGGCGCCTGGCTGACTCAGTTGGTAGATTATGTGACTCTTAATCTTGGGGTTGTGAGTGCAAGCCCCACTTGGGTGTGGATATTACTTAAAACAAACAAACAAACAAACAAACAAACAAATAAATAAATAAATAAAATGGGACTTGTGGGAAAATGAGATTAGAGGTCAATGAACTACAATTCTAAGTGAATGACAGGAGGAAGGGAATGAGAAGAAAGGGAAAGAGGTCTTTTAGTGAGAAATTCAACAATATGAATTCTGGATATTTTTTTCTAGGAAGGGCATGAAGGAAAAAGAGGTTGAATAAAGGAGGGTGAAGAGAAGGAGAGAGGAAACAAACAGGGGAGGGAAGTAGGGAGGAAGAGGTTAGAGAAAGATGAGATAGAGGGAGAGAGCAGAGAAAAGGAAGGGAAAGAAAAAGGAAGGATGGACTAAAGAAAGGAAAAGACACAAGAAAGAAATGTGGCAAAATGATCCCTATTGGGCATCTGGTAGAAGCCAGGCATTTACCCATATGATTTAAATCTCATATCAACCGTGTAAGGTATATATTATCTTTCCTCTTTTATAAATGAGGAAATGAAAGCTCTGAGAATTTATTTTAGTCAAGGAAACACACCTAGGAACATCAACCCTGGCTGCACGCAACTCCAAATTCTGGGCTCAAGGAAACCCTTTAATTCCAACAGGGAGAATTCCTTTATGGCAAGCAAATGCTTATGTGACACTTGAGTCCTGGAAAGAATTACCCTAGAGGGTGCCCTTGTCCTAATAAGTAGAAAATAGTTGATCTTCTGAAACCCTAAGCCTATAATTCTGCAATTCTATGGCATCGGGTCGTATTATGTGGAATACTTCTTGAGATCATTGACATCCTCTAATTTTGCCTTACTACTAAGGGGCATTTTCAAAGAATCCAGTGAAAGAATCTAATATTTCACTTTCTGGAGTGAAAAAAGTACTAGACGTTCTGTTTGACAAAGAATGCCTTATCTTATGAGAAAATGGGCACAAAGTATATTCCATGGTCCAGTTTATAGTATTTACCAACTTAGCATGAATGTCGAAGATAGACAGATGTATGGGGTGCTAGAGAAAATTCCAAGAGAAAACTCAAAATTATCAAATTACCCAAATTTGTTCAGGCTAAGCAGAAAGTACTAGCAAACCACCAGTGAGAAAGAGAGACCTCGGGAAAAAAATCATCTCACTTTGACAAAAATTCTGTGAAAAACAGTGGACTTTGTATGTACCACAAATTTGGGGGTCACTTCAGAGTACTTGAAAAAAGGAATATACATTAATTCTCTCACTTAAGTTCAAAGTTATTTAGCACTTACTGTAGGTTAAAAGGAGGGGTAAGGGGATGGGAGGGGGAGGAGGGAAAGGGATAATTCACCAAAAAAAGGGGGGGGCATAAAAATTAAACCAAGCTACCTCCAAGGAATAATTAGAAGTGAAAATCAATAAGGAGAAAATGGCTCATATTCTCCTCATTGATTTCCTATGCACGGTGAGTCAAACTTGACTGTTGGTTAGAAGTCAGTTTGGCTACTTCTTATTACTTTTTCAGCAGTTGGGTACTCCTGTCAGTTCCTTTCATGCTGGAGTCTTGCTTGGCTCTAATCACAGCTGTCAGCTATTGAACGAGTTTGACACCCTGACTCCAGAAGCGAGGGGATTCACACTGCATGCATATGCAGTGGGCTCCTTCATTAAAGCTGATTGACATAACAGATAGGGTGCACTGCCACTGATTTTTATAAGCAAAACAAATGGCTACACAATCAAGGAAGAGTCTCCTTGGTCAGAAACACCCAGAGAGAGCAAGAACCAGTCTTTATACAGCTCAGCCAGTATTACTGGAAATACCTACGCTTACTTAAAATGGTAGATATGGGCAATGAGTCAAGAGCCAGCTACACACACACACACACACACACACACACACACACACCTGACCCCTCCCCTACAATCTTAGCTGTCCATTCCAAACAATCTCGGTTGGAGTTACAGGGGTTTGTTAAAAGGGGGATCATTTAGCTATTGTGAGCTGGATTTTGGAGAGGCATTAAGTTTCTTGGAGGCAGAAGAAGAGACTGACACTGACCAGAATCTCCTCCCCCACCACCAAGAAAAGGAAGCACGGCTAGAGCTTCTCAGAGTATTTCTGTCCATAATGTCATGAAATGACAGACTCTAAGTTGAAATGGACCAATTAGCCCCAAAACCACCAACTTCAAAACTGGTTCAGAGCATCCCTGACGAGGGCCCATTCAGATTCTAGCTGACATTCTTAGCAGTAAGCATGCCATGTCTGGCTGGAGACCGCTTTCCGGAAACGGAAGCACAAACCGCATCAGCAGTACAGGGAGTCGTTAAAGCATGGTCCTGTGGGGGAGGAATTCCCATCCTATACCTTGTGTCTAGTGATCAGGGTCTGCCCTCTTCAAACCCCAGGACTTCATGACGCCAGCCACCACACCGTTCTGCTGCCCGTCACAAAACAGTCTCTGCCTCCCGGGGCTGCAAAGACATCATCAATGCCCTTCAAAAGTGAGTGACTTCTGACCATCTTTAACTGGTTCCTTCCATCAGGTCCTTCAATACCTAGCCATATGCTCTTCTGTGGCAATTTGTGGAGCCTCCAGCACTACCACCTGCGATTTTTCAGCAACTCAGAACTTCTAGCAGATAGTGACCCAAAAAAGAAAGATCCTAAGGGATTCAGCAAATACACTGGTGAGTATAAACTCTTCAACTGAGTGAGGAGCAGATAAGGGGATGCTATCGCTTGATGAGAGTCTAAGATGTAGCTTACCCTACTGTTTGGGGGGTAAGGAGTAAGGAGTTACACATCAACAATATTATATATATATTTTATATATATAATATATACACATAATGTATATTATATATATTATAGATAATATATATTGTATTAATATATATTATAACATATAATATAGTATGTATATAGTATATATTATATATAACATATATAATATATATAATATACATTATATATTATATAATACATATTATATACATA